CTAAAAATAGTAAAACCATCTGTACCTAAGGGTAAGGTAAGAATCGATGCAGTTACAAGTTGAGTCTTCAATTCTGGAAAGATGGACTCTCTCAGATCAGTCCATTCGAATGGTACTCCTTTTTGTGTCAACTAAGTAAGAGGCAAAGCAATTTTGGAGAAGTCTTTTACAAATCTGCGGTAGTAACCGGCCAAATCCAAGAAACTTCTGACTTTGGTAATATTGGTTGGTCTAGGCCAATTTACAACTGCCTTTATCTTTTGTGGGTCAACTGAAATGCCATCTTTATTTATCACATGCCCCCAAAAACATAACACTAGAACTCACATTTTATTAATTTTGCATAGAATTTCTTCTCCCTTAAGGTTTGCAAAACAATGCTCAAGTGATGTTCATGATCCTCTTTACTTTTAAAATAAATCAGGATATCATTTATAAAAATAACAACAAATTCATCTAGGAATGGCTTAAAAATTATGTTAATTAGATCCATAAATGCAGCTTGCTCATTAGTTACTCCGAAAGACATAGCAAGAAATTTGTAATGTTCGTACCTTGTTCGGAAAGTAGTCTTTTCTATGTCTTCAGCTTTGACTTTTAGTTGATGGTATCCGAATCGAAGCTTAATTTTGGAAAATACTGGGGTACCTTGCAACTGATCGAATAAGTCATCAATACGAGGCAACGAATACTTATTCTTCACGGTCACCTTATTCAACTCACGGTAATCAATGCAAAGCCTTAATGAACTATCATTCTTTTTCACAAATAGGACTGGAGCACCCCACGGTGAAGTGCTAAGTCTGATAAATTTCTTATGCAGCAACTCTTGTAATTGAACCTTTAATTCTTTCAATTCAGTAGTTGACCTTCGGTACAGTGTTTTGGAAATCAGCTGTATACGCAGTACTACCTCAATAGTAGACTTAATCTCCCTGTCAACCAAATTCCCTATCAAGTCATCTGGAAAAACATCTAGGAACTCCATGACTATAGAAATACTATCCACATTAGCTTTATCAACAGTTGGCACATTCAATACATAACACAATATCCTATACAGCATTTTCTAATCAGTTTGCATGCTTTCACAAATGAAATTAAGTATGGGGGAGGTACAACTCCAATTCTGTTAAATGTAAATTCAGGCAGTCCAGGTGGTCGGAATATAACTTATTTGGTTATACAATCAATAGTGGCATGATATTTCATTAACCAATCCATCCAAAATTACGTCAAAATGATCAATATTCAGAGACAACAAATCAACATATAAAATCACATCTCCAACAGCAATCTCACAAGCACGATATATATATGCACAAGTCGTGGACCCCCCAGTAGGTGAAGACACAGCTAATAGATAATTCCTGGGTTCCGGTGGTCTAGTTAATTTTCTCAAAAAAGCATGCGACACAAATGAATGCGTAGACCTCGAGTCAATCAAAATATAAGCATTTTGAGCACAAATAGGGAGTATACCTGACACTACTACCTCAGTATTTTGCACATGTCTTGGTACAAGTGCAAAAATCTGGCTTTGCCTTAAAGTTTCTTTCCCTGTAGCTTTAGGATTTGATTTCGATTTAAAGGTTGATGCCATTGAACTTGCGAGAGATCTATTGGTGCCTTAGGGTAAAGAAGGACAATCTTTGACCAAGTGGCCAATTTTTCCATACCTAAAGCATGCCTAAAAAATTTTGTAACAAACACCCTTATGTCTTCTTTCACATTCTGAACATGACGATGTAGAACTATTTCCTTGGCTAGAACTACTCATCGACCCCGTATTCTATTTTTTATTCTGTGAGTTGTTCTGGCCCTTCTTAAATTTAAATCCTTGCCTTTTATTCTTCTGGTCAGTCACTGGTGTCTTGGCCTACTTTAAAGCTACAATATTTGCCTCAAACATAATAGCTCTATCAAGGACATCTACATACTTAGTCAATTTGAGAACATTGACCCGATCAAGTACTTCCACATTAAGTCCATTATCAATTTTTTTTAGTTTTTTTATAATCAGAATCCACCATGTGTGGTGCATATCGGGCAAGCTCCATGAATTTGGCTTCATATTCAGCTACAGATAAGGTACCCTACTTCAATTTCTTTGTGACATTTTGTTCTAGGTAACCGCTCGAGCGAAGGAAGTTACGCTTGAGCAGAGAATTGTTGCTCCCAGTATCTTGCCAATTTACAGGTGGGACCGCTCGAGTGTAGGAAGTTGCACTCAAGCGTAGAATGTGAGCTCCCAATAGTTTCATTGTAACTCTACAAAACTTCTGGGACTTGTCATTTTTCGCTGGAGCGATAGAGTCATTGCTCGAGCAATCCCCTCGTAATTGTGTTGCCCGCTCGAGCAGTTTGCACGATTCTACACTTTAAAAAGTACGATTCTAGATCATTCTCTCCACTTTTCTTTTCTCTCTTCTTCCTTCTTGTCTCAAGCCCAGAAAGCCCTAAGTTTCCACTCCAAAATACTCCTCATTCTCTTAAGATCCAACCTAAATCTCTTGCAAAGGGTGAAGAACACTTGAAGATCATCATCTTTACTGATTAGAATTTTGTTTGGTGACGAGTTTACCTAGAAGCTTGGTTCTTGTGCTCATAACTTGAGGTAGGGTTACTTTTAACCTAGAATTTCTTTGATTTGAAGAAGTTTATATGGTATTGTTGTGATTTTGAAGATTGATTAAATGATTGAGTTGGATATAAACTTTGGATTTAACAAAAAGGGACATTCCACTCACTTGTTATTAATATGTCAAATAAATCTACATAAAAGAGGAGTATTGGTATTAAGAATTTATATATATGTACATAGAAGGAAAGTCCCAAAGTTGACTAAAAACCATAATTTCCAACTAAGTGTAGAGTAGAATTTTAATTGGAATTTCCTTAAAATCTTGGAACCTTGTGAACAATAAAGGATAAAAGAAGTGAATATTGTGATGACAATGGGATTGTGGCTTGGAGATTAATTCTTCTTGAGTGTGGTAATGTGTTTCATCTCCTTTTGTGTTGAATGCTTGTTGAATGAATGAAAGTTTGGAAAATTGAGCATGAGTCTCGGGTTAAGAGTTGGTTGTGATGTGATTATGTGTGTGTTGGTACCCGCACATGGAGTCAAGGTGCCCAATTGTCCTGTCTTGAGCTTATCGCCGGACAAACATAGGAAAAATATTTTTGGGTGTCCACTGGTCCTACCCTATCATAGTCAGTAAAAGTGAAAAAAAATGGATGATTTTGGGTACCCACGTTCTACCATATAATGGTTGGTCAATGTAAGGATGTTTTTTAAATTAAAGTGACTTGCATTGGTTTATTTGGACTATTATGGTGGACTCATGGTGTGTTTTCTTTTCCAATATGATGATGTTTTGGTATGAGATGGAAATGTGATTATTCAACGGGATTAGTTACATAATTAACTATGTTTATAAATGTACGTTAATTACTCACCTTGCCTTGTCTCAATGGTGTGGGCTTATTCAAACGATTAAATACTTGGTTAAAGGTATTCCTACAGGCCATATAGGTCAACCCTATTTATTTTATAGGAGATGTTGACGCACTACTTCATAAATGAATTGGATTTGGCAGTGGTTCATTTTGGGCTTGATAGATCAAGAACTTTTTGGTTGTTAAGACTTATTTGTATTAAGACTTTGTTGTACCAACAAGTACTTTGGAATGTTGTATGCCCTTGGGGGTGTTTCTCTTTTGTAAGGTCATCTAGATCATTGAACTTGGAGATGAGTTCAAGGTATTTTTGGAAATATAAACTTTGTAATTGTAGCTTCTTGAATCTTAGTTCAATGAAAAAGATGGCTATTAGGTATATTGTTGCGCTTATGGTGGTGTATTTATGTGTAAATTTGTCGGGCATTACAAATTGGTATCAGAGCCCTAGGTTTGAATACCTTGGGGCTCGTGGGAAGTGACACTTGTCATAATAGGTTTCCTAGGCCAGGATGTGACGCTTATGTGGGTTGTGTGTTTTGTGTATTTATGTGTTATATGGGTATGGAGTTAAGCTCTTAGGATATGACTGGTGTCCTTTGAAATCATTGAAGTCCTTTTGGAAAGGCACTTGATCAATGCTTTTTCCACTAGGAAATCTTTGGGTGTCATGGGACTAGTTAGAGTCTTGGGAGAGTAATTTGTGTGTGCTCTATTTGTTTATGTGAATACCGTGGTGTGCCCTATATGATATAGGTCTTTGCGTAGGAGTATGTTTGACTCACGTGTGTGATATGTGGGTGGTATGTGGTGTATGGGTTGCGAGTTAAATCTTTCTTCTTATTTTTATATAGGATGCTAGGATGAGGAAGAGGTCGAGGTAGGCCCCACAGAGGTCACCAGGATGTGCCGGCACAACAAGATTTTTCTCTCCAAGAAAAAGGGGCAAGGCAAAATGACGAGGCCGTTCCACCGGCCCAAGATATGATAAGGGCATTAGCCTAGGAGATGGTGGGTGCTCTTCGATAGTCAATAGAGATACTTAGGGCCGAGCAAGCGGCTAGAACTGTCGAAGGAGAAACTAGGGCTTCCTTTTTGAAAAAGGAGTTCTTTCGTTCAAACCTCGTCGAGTTTAGTGGTGGGCTTGACCGAATGAAAGTAGATGAGTGGTTGGAGTAAATTGTCAAATATTTTAAGATTTTGGACATCTAAGAGAATGAATTACAGGTGGCATTAGCGGCTTACCAGTTGAAGGGAGAGGCAGGACAATAGTGGAAGTATATTAGAGTAGAGTTGAGCATATATGGGAGGCATTTGTGCATGCCTTCCAAGAGAAGTTTCTCCCTCCCACAACTAGGGAGCAGTTAAGCAAATAGTTTGAAGAACTATTATAACTGAATACATCTGTGGCATAGTTTGAAGCCGTATTCACTTATCTATCTCGTTTTGCACCGGAGCTAGTAGCAGTCGAGAAACGTTGATGTTCAGAATTTGAAAAGAGATTGAGGGAAAATTTTTTAATGAAGATAGTAGGAAACATGATTCGTGATTATGATCGCCTAGTAGAGACAGCAGCCCATGTGGAGATCATGGTAAAGACAGAGGAGGTAAGGCCGAAATTAAAGAGGACGGGACATTCTGAATTTAAGGGTGACATGGGCTCTTCAAAAAGGTCTAGGGGTTCATCATCATCATTTCACTCACCCCCACAGCAGCCTAAATCTTCTGATTCAGTAATAGGTAGAAGTTCAGGGAGTGTGGGTCGAATCCATGGTTCTTGCTATAGATGTGGCCAATTGGGTCACAAAGCTTCAGAGTGTGGACAGAAGAGTGGAACACAGTCCCAACATACGCGTCCACAGGGCCAATCTCAGAATAGGGGTCAGCTATCGTCTTGTTATCAATGCGGCCAAACAGGGCATTTGAAGAAGTCTTGTCCACAGAGAGCAGGGACTACTAGTGTGACAGGATCTCGTCAATCTAGAGGTTTTTAGATAGGTCAGGGACAGAGACAGTCTCACCAATTAGCTCAGTCAGGCCAAGCATCTAGAGCATCTCAAGGGGCCACATCTACACAACCCGCATAACAAACTTATGCTCGTAGAGGTGATATGGGAGAACAGAGGTCACCGAGAAGGATATATGCTATCACTGCTTCAGAGCAGACTTCAAGGTCGTCGATTGTGAGAGGTACATTTCTTATTTTCAATACCTGGGCTAGTGTGTTGATTGACACTAGGGCATCTCACTGGCTTATAGCCACTTCTTTTGCATTGTTGTTAGGGTTAGAAAGTAAAAAATTAAAATCTTCACTCACAGTAGAGTCACTAGTCGGGGGTAAAGTCACTTTGACCTGGGGATGTCAGGGGCGTGTAATTCAAGTGGCGGGTCGACAACTTCTGTTCAATATTGTGTTGTTAAAAATGCCGGGTTTTCACGTCATTCTCGACATGGATTGGTCATCTACTTACTGGGCTACTATAGATTGTTTTCGTGGAAGAGTTACTGTATGCACGTCGGGTGGTGATTGTTTCACATTTCTGGGAGACAAGAACAATAAATCCTTATTCTCATCATACTATCCACATGGCCGAGGTGAATTCAGTTCTCTTTTAGCAACCTTTTTAGATGACGGAAGTGGTACAGGCCTAGATGGGTTTCCAAGGGTAGCATGTGAGTATCTTGACGTCTTCCCTGAAGATCTCACTAAATTACCTCCTCACCGAGAAGTTGAGTTCACCATAGATTTGATACCAGGTACAACACCCATCTCCTCATCTCCATATAGGTTTGCTCCAGCTAAATTGGTAGCCCTAAAGGAACAATTATAGGAGTTATTAAATATGGGTTTCATACGCCCTAGTACCTCACCTTGGCGAGCTTCAGCGTTGTTTGCAAAGAAGAAAGATGGGTCATTAAGATTGTGTATAGATTATCGTAAATTGAATCAAGTTACGATTAAGAATAAATGCCCCTTATCCCGAATAGACGACCTTTTTGACCACTTAAAGGTTCATGTTATTTTTCGAAAATAGATTTATGGTCAGGTTATCACTAGATCTGGGTTAGGGAGGAAGATATCCCCAAGACTGCCTTTCGTACCTGATATGGTCATTACAAGTTTTTGGTTATGCCATTCGGTTTGACTAATGCGCCAGCCACTTTCATGGATCTTATGAATCAAATTTTCCGAGAGTTTCTTGATAAATTCGTGGTTGTTTTTGTAGACGATATTCTAATCTATTCACCTTCCGAAAAGGAGCATGAAGGGCATCTTTGTACTATTTTGCAACTTCATAGGGACCATCGTTTGCATGAGAAATGTGAGTTCTGCCTTTCGAAAGTGAAGTTTTTGGGCCATGTAGTCTTTGGAGATGGAGTTATGGTGGACTCCTCAAAGATTAAGACAATACAAAATTAAAAACAACCTAAAATGCTACAAAGATTTGTAGTTTCTTGGGTTTAGCTAGCTACTACTGCCGATTTGTAAAGAACTTCTCTTCCATAGCATCACCATTGACTTGATTAACCAGCAAGGGAGTGAAATTTACTTAAAATGAAGTTTGTGAGAATTCTTTTCACGAACTAAAGCCTCTAGAGAGGGGCTAGTGTGTGTTTTGATGCAAAAAGGCAAAGTAGTAGCATATGGTTCGTGCCAATTGAAGACTGATAAGAGGAACTACCCAACACATGATTTAGAGCTTGCCGCCATTGTTTTTGCCTTGAAACTGTGGAGACATTATTTGTGTGGTGAAAAATTCGAAGTCTTCTCCGGTCATAAGAGCCTTAAATATCTATTCTCCCAAAAAGATTTGAACTTACGACTACAGAGATGGATGGCATTCTTGGAAAACTATGACTTTGAAATACACTACCACCCTAGTAAGGCTAGCAGATGCTTTGAGTAGGAAGTCCGTAAGTACTCTAGCCAATCTCGCGATAAGGGAATGGAAAATGATCAGGGATGTTAGTGAATTTGACTTGCAACTTCATGAATCTTCGAAATAGGCTATCCTATTTGACACCGTCGCATAACCCACCCTTGTCACAAGAGTAGTTGAAGCACAATTTGGCAATCCAGAAGTAGATACAATTAGAGAAAGAATCTCCCAAGGGAAAGAAGAAAGGGGCTTGAATATTTACTCATATTCTAATATTCGTTACCTTGATTGGTTGTTTGTGCCTACATCAATGAGGGAAGGAGTTTTGTGAGGCTTCCATCATTCATGCTTTGCTGTACATCTGGGGGTCACCAAAATGTATCATAACCTCAATCGACAATTCTGGTGGAGAGGCATGAAAAAGGACATTCATGTTTTGCTGTACATCTGGGGGGCACCAAAATGTATCATAACCTCAATCGACAATTCTGGTGGAGAGGCGTGAAAAAGGACACAGCTTTATTCATGTCCAAATGTCTAACCTGTCAAAAAGTCAAAGTCGAGCACCAAAGATCGGCAGGACTACTATAACCTCTTCCAATTGCTGAATGGAAATGGGAGCATGTTAATATGGATTTTGGTACGGGCCTTCCTAGAACACAAAGAAGTAATGACGCGATATGGGTGATCGCCGACAGGCTCACCAAATTAGCCCACTTCCTCGCCATGAGCATGGGTGATTCTATAGAGTTTCTAGTTGAACTTTACATTTGGAAGATTGTTCGTCTCCATGGGGTTCTAGTGAGTATAGTGTCCAATAGAGACCCTTGCTTTGCAGCAAGACTATGGCAGAGTCTGCAAAGTGCCTTGGGTACTCAATTGAAATTCAGTACTACCTATCATCCACAGATCGATAGGCAATCCGAACGCACCATTCAAGTTTTAGAAGATATGTTGAGGGCATGTAAGGGTCTTGGGAGAAACACCTACCCTTAATTGAGTTTTCTTATAACAATAACTGTCATACTAGCATTGGAATGGCACCTTTTGAAGCTCTTTATGGACGACCCTATAGGTCACCAGTATGTTGGACAGAAGTTGGAGACTCACCTATGCTTGGACCCGAGTAAGTTTGTGAGACAATTGAAAAAGTAGCTCTTATTCGACAAAGATTGGTTACGGTCCAAAGCCGACAGAAAAGCTATCCCTATCGTCGTCTAAGATTATTGTCTTTCGAAGTTGGGGATCACGTGTTTCTAAAAATCTCACCAAGGAAGGGATTAATGAGATTTGGCAAGAGTGGAAAACTATCTCCTCAATTTATTGGCCCCTTTGATATCATTGAACGGATTAGAGAAACTGCATATCATCTTGCTTTATCGCCACAACTCTCCAAAGTTCACAATATGTTTCATGTATTCACGCTTCGCAAATGCAAAACTAATCCCTTCTACGTCTTTGATTAGACGGAGATTGAAGTAGATGAAGATGTGTCTTATGAAGAGAGACAAATCCAAATTTTAGATACAAGGGAACAAGTGTTAAGGGGTAAGACAATTCCGTTAGTTAAAGTATTGTGGCTCCATTACAGTGTGGAAAAAGCGACATAGGAACGTGAAGCTGAGGTCTGTGAGAAATACCCGCACTCATTTTAAAAGTTGTGATGTAATTATCTCCTTGCTCTTTTCATGTATATGGTAAATAGAAATTGAACCATAATTTTCTAATTCTCCCTTGTCTTTGGCTTTGGTTTTAAATTGATATATTGTTTAATTGAGCGTTGTTAAGGATTGATATATATATATATATATTTTTTTTGTTGCCATACTTTGTTATCAGATTATGAGTGAATGTTATTTCGAGGATGAAATTTTCAAAAGGGGAAAGGTTTTGACATTTTGTTCCAGGTGACCACTCGAGTGAAAGAAGTTGTGCTCGAGCGGAGAATTATTGCTCTTAGTATCTCGCCAGTTTACAGGCAGGACCGCTTGAGCGTAGAAAGCTGGGCTCGAGCGTAGAATATGAGCTCCCAGTAGTTTCACTGTAACTCTGCAAAACTTCTGGACTTGTCATTTTTCGCTCGAGCGATAGAGTCGTCACTCGAGTGATCACCTCGTAATTGTGTTGCCCGCTTGAGCAAAGGAAGTTGTGCTCGAGCGGTCTACGCGATTATGCACTTTAAAAAGTACGATTCTAGATTATTCTCTCCACTTTTCTTTTCTCTCTTCCTCCTTCTTGTCTCAAGCCCAAAAAATCTAAGTTTCCACTCCAAAATACTCCCCATTCTCCTATGATCCAACCTAAATCTCTTGCAAAGGGTGAAAAACACTTGAAGAACATCATCTTTACTGATTAAAATTTTGTTTGGTGAAGAGTTCATCTAGAAGCTTCGTTCTTATGCTCATAACTTGAGGTAGGTTTACTTTTAACCTAGTATTTCTTTGATTTGAAGAAGTTTATATGGTATTGTTATGATTTTGAAGATTGATTAAATGATTGAGTTGGATATAAACTTTAGATTTAACAAAAAAAGACATTCCAGTCACTTGTTATTAAAATATCAAATACATCTACATAAAAGAGGAGTATTGGTATTAAGAATTTATATATATAGAAATAGAAGGAAAGCCCCAAAGTTGACTAAAAACCCTAATTTCCAACTAAGTAGAGAGCAGAATTTTAATTGAAATTTCCTTAAAATCTTGGAATCTTGTGAACAATAAAGGATAAAAGAAGTGAATATTGTGATGACAATGGGATTATGGCTTAGAGATTAATTCTTCTTGAGTGTGGTAATGTGTTTCATCTCGTATTGTGTGAAATACTTGTTGAATGAATGAAAGTTTGGCAAATTGAGCATGAGTCCCAGGTTAAGAGTCGGTCGTGATGTAATTGTGTGTGTGTTTGTACCCGCGCGGGAAGTCAAGGTGATGTAGACCGCCCGGAACTCTACTCTTCGAGTGCGAAGGCGCGAATTGTTTCGTTCTTAGCTACTACAGTTCGGACACATGTCACGGTTCTAAATCTAATCTCACAAAGTGCAATGTGAGATCAATAAATCACCAAAGAGTCCAAATCCGGCAAATCGTTTTGGAAAACAAATTTATAAAGAA